TGCTCTCTCACCTTCAGCTGATGATATCCTGACCTAAGATCGATCTTTGAGAAGTAGCTCGAACCTTGCAGCTGATCGAATAGGTCATCAATCCTCGGCAATGGATACTTGTTCTTCACCGTTGCCTTATTCAGCTCTCGGTAGTCTATGCACATCCTCATGCTTCCGTCCTTCTTCTTCACGAATAACACCGGAGCTCCCCAGGGTGATGAACTAGGTCGAATGAAACCGCTGTCCAACAGCTCCTGAAGTTGCATCATGAGCTCCTTCATCTCCGTCGGTGCTAATCGGTAAGGTGCCTTTGCTATCGGTGTTGTTCCTGGTAACAAGTCTATACGAAACTCCACTTGTCTATCAGGTGGTAATCCGGGAAGATCTTCGGGAAAGACTTCCGGATAATCGCACACAACCGGTATATTCTGCACCTCTTTCTTTTCTTTCTTAGCATCGATTACGAATGCCAAGTATGATGCACATCCTTTGGACAAACATTTCCTGGCTTTCATCAGGGAGATGATTCCAGAATTCACTCTGCGTTTGTCCCCGTACACCATAAATGATTCCTTTCCGGGTGGGTTTATCCTAACTATCTTCTTTCGGCATAATATCTCGGCATCGTTGGCGCTAAGCCAATCCATACCCAAAACGATGTCGAAACCGTTTAACTCTATGGGTAATAGTTCCTCATGGAATTCGTTTCCGTTTAGGTCAATGACGATGTTCCTAATACGATTACTAACAGGTACGAATTTGCCACTGGCAACTTCTACAATCAGGGCATTATCTAGTTTTTCTACAGGCAATGCTAATCTTCCACCAAATTTATGCGACACAAAGGAGTAATTGGCTCCGGAATCAAATAGTATATTTGCAGGCAAACCATTTACAAGAAAGGTACCTGAAGCGACGTCTGCTGCCTCCTTCGCAGCCTCGAGCGTCATCTGAAAGGCTCTCGCCTTTGGCTTTGGTGGTATGTTGGGCCTTCCCGCATCTTTCTTCTTTGGGCAATCCTTAGCAATATGCCCTTCTTCACGACACTCGTAGCACACTTTCTTGTTGGTGGTGCACTCATTGGCATAGTGCCCCGTTTTCCCACACTTGTAGCAGGTTACTTCATCGCCACATTTTCCCGAGTGCTTCTTCTTGCACTTCTCGCACCATTTAAATTGTTTCCTCCCCCGAATTTTTTGAACCGAACTTGCTCTTCTTTTTGTTGGGTTTAGCAGACCCTTCAAATTTCCTCTTCTCGCCAACCTCGATTTTGCTGGCAGCTCTTCCCTTAATCATGTCCTCCACAGACTTGGCAGCCCAGATAGCTGCCTCCAAAGTAGGTGCCTGACGTACTGGCACCGCGTACTCCCATGGAAGTCCCTTTGCGTACTTATCAATTTTCGTCAGCTCATCCGGAACAAGACGCAAGGCAAACTCCATCTTTTCTGTGAAGTTGTTCGTGTATTCATCGATTGACATGCTTCCCTTCTTCAGGGTTAGAAACTGGTTCTCTAACTCTAGCAGGTTTTGAGCTGAGCAGTACTTTCGTTTGAATTGCACCAGAAATTCTGCCCATGTCAGTTGCAGGGGCTTGTTGGGGCTTAAAGTCTTCCCCAAGGTATTCCACCAACGTACAGCGCCTCCTCGAAACTGACGCACTGCAAACGTGGTCTGTAGCTTTCCTCTGCAACCGCACGTCATGAAAGCTAACTCCATCTCCGAGATCCAATCCATGACCCCGATTGGATCTTCCTTTCCCGTGAAAGTCGATGGCTTGCAAGTCAGAAAATCCTTGTACTTGCATCCATTCCTCTCGACTTCGTCACCCTGGTTGTTTTGTTGAACTATTGGTGGGTTGGCTTGACCAAGTCCCACTGTAGTTTCCCTCCTCAGTCTGCCCTTCGTTCACTCGGGCTGTTCGATCTGAATAGTTGCTTCCTCTCGATTTTGTTGGAGCAAGAGTCTGGTTTCCTCCATTTGACGATCCAACATCGCCTGGATCATCGCTTGCACTCCGGCCATTGTTATTGGCTCAGCAGCGGCTACCACAACTGGTATTGCTCAATTACTGGGGGTTGGTTTCTGTTCCCATTTGCATTCACGTTTCCGCTTCGGGTCCTTGCCATCTTGATCTATACACCGAATAAGGTGAATTTAGATCTTTATTTAGGAGAGACGTTTTAAATCGTCCTTATCACTCCGAAACGTTTACATGCTAGTTCTAATATCGTAGTCGTACGTTTAGAATCCTAAACACATAAGGTTTCCAGATCCGGTCGGCAACAGACCATAGATCCGAACAAAATAACAGCATATCATGCATAAAGCATTTAGCACATAAAAGCATTTTAGGCACAATTCCTAAAATAAGCTAGTGCTCACACCTCACAATCATCGCTTAGCATTCTAAGTTTAAGTCTAGAAATCCTACAAATTCCTAGTTCGCTTAAACTAATGCTCTGATACCAACTGTGACATCCCCAAAATCACGGCCAGAAAAGACCGGTTTGTTTATGCTTTGTTTAAAAATCAGAGTAACATTTTAAATAAAAGTGTTGCGGAATTTGTCCCAAAACAATAACATGATAAAGATTTATCAAAAGCATTTCCATAGAAATGTATTTCATTAAAAGACTCGGGATGTCATGTTCGTACAGATCAAAAGCATAAACAGTACAATACAAGCCTTACTACATTATTTCATATCTACAGGCCTATATCCGTAATCCCTCGTCCAAACATCATATATATGCTCAAGCGCCACTACCTGTAATACATAAAACTGAGTGGGTCAGGCTTGGGAGCCTGGTGAGCACATAGGGTTTTCAACCCACAATAAATAAGTTTATTAATTTCATCAATCAACAATAACCCGATTACCCGTTCCCGTTATCCTCACTTTACGTCCCTAAACACCTATCATAAGGGACCTAGCCTAAGGATCATCATCGGGACGGACACTACTGCTAAGGGGATTCCTCAGCAATAAATGTCCTAATAGGCAACCATGTGGGGGATGGAGTACATCTGGTGAGCACACAGTTCAAATAAACACACAGTTCAAATAAACACCTACAGGTTGCGAGCCTGCTAGTGTTCCACTGGACTGTCTAGAATAGTCCGTGGTCGTCATCTATACTCCGCTAGATGACTGGATCATCAATAACATCTATAACGAGGCCTCTCATTATTTTATTTTGTCACACAGCAACTATTACATCTACCCATGTTTTACCCAACACATTTTGTAGATATAAAATACATATACAGTTTAAATCTTTGAAAACATGTATAAAACGTTCATCCAGCATAGATAGCAAGTATTCAGATAATATGCACACATAGCACGTAATTTATATTAAATACTTCATATCTATGTGTAAGCTGAAAGTAACTATGCACTCACCTGAAAATGTGGTGATTCTGAACTCAGACAGCGCTTCGCTTCTTAAAAAGAATTTTCTTCGACGAAACCTAGTATTATTACCACTAGAGTTTAGTTTATTATTCGTCGAGACTAATTAATAGTCTAGCTATTATTACTATTATATAAGCGTCAAAAAATACTTATATAACCCATAATAATAGCCCAAGTATTTAGTATAAGTTTCTAATAACGTTACTATAATTAAATAAAAGCTATATTAAAAATAGCGTAGGCGTATCTCACTTACAACGGGTTTTATAGAAAACCAGGATTTGCTTGGAGCAGCGTTTCCAAATCGAAAAGCTCTTCTTCTCGGAGCCGTCGAGCACACCGGAGCTTCCGCCTCGTGCTAGGGAGGTTCCCTAGGCTTTCCGGGGGATTTCGGAGCTAGAGAGAGGTTCTAGAGAGAGAGAGAGAGAGAGAGTAAAGAGAAGAAATAATGGGAAAGGTGTGAAGAAAATGAGGGTGGGAGAGGTGGTATTTATAGGGTGAAATGTGGCTGAACTTGGTGCCACATGTCACCATCTGGTGGCAACCCTTGGGGAGAAAGCAATGGCCAAGATTGTGCCACATCACCCATTTTCGCACAGCACACTTCCGACTTCTAAAATCCGTAACTTTCACATATGACCTACGTTTTTGACGTTCTTTATATCCACGCGTAGGTAATAATAAGATCTACAACTTTCATTTTGACTCCGTCGGCTAATTCTCGACCGATCTTAAATTTAACAGTACAAGGAGATTATACTGTTAAACGTCTGCGTAAAATTAATAACTTCTACATACGGACTCTGTTTTTGTTTGTCTTTTTACCGTTGATTTCCTATTAATGAGATCTTCAACTCTCATTTACGTTGCGTAAGCCAAAAACCTCTCGAACTAAAATTCGAGTTTCGGGCCGTGCACTGCTAAGCCGAATCTTAGAAAAATCATAACTTCTTCATACGAAGTCAGATTTGGGCGTTCTTTTTATCGATGTTCTTAGTTTAACATATTCTACGACTTTTGTTTAGATTTCTAAGGCTAAAAAGTCTTCTATCGTAAATTCACTATTTACGTCTTCCGGTGCCGTGCCGGTTTTGCCGTAAAACTTCGGCGGGTCATAACTTCTTCGTTATAGCTCGGATTTCGGCATTCTTTATATGTACGGAAACCTTGAGACATATTCTACAACTTTATGTAGAGATATCGGGATTATCTCACACTTTAATTTTGACGCTCATTTTTATTCTTTATTAATTATACATTTATAATTAAATAATAAACACATAAACACACATAATTCACATAATACTCAAATATTCATATTTATTACTTCAAAAAGAGTTACAATAATTGACCTAGACTATTACATTGACAAAAAAGTGCTTAGCCCTGAAAACCCGGGCGTTACAGGTTTGATTCTAACACACACATAAGTAGTGTCCTTGTTAGTATGTACACAAGATGTGGTTGTATGAATTCGGCCTATAAAGTATTTAGTGGTTTATCGCATCCCGATTTAGTAACATGGTCTGCTTTAATATTTGTTTTTTCACAATCTGGAGAGTATCACAATGCCTTAACTTCTTTCAAGAATATGAACTCCTATGGCAAAAGGCTAGACTCCGTTCTTATCTCCATTTTACTGGCTGTAACTTCACAATTGGTCACTTTGGCACCAGGTGTCGAGCTACATGGTTATGCCATACGCCATAACCTACATTCGGAGGTCATGGTGTCTTCTGCATTGATAGACATGTACTCAAAATGTGGTTTCTTGGACTTGGCACTCAAGGTGTTCGATGAAATGCCTAAAAGAAACATAGTTTCATACAATTCAGTAATAATAAGTTTTAGTTTATACGGACTTGCATCCGAGGCTTTTGAAGTGTTTCATGAGGTTCTTGAACGAGGTCTAAAACCTGATGAATCTACTTTCACTGCTCTACTATCTGATTGCTCCCATGGTGGTCCTCTTAAAGAAGGTCGAGACGTTTTCAGAAGAATGAGGGACGATTTTAGCATTGAAGCAAACACTGAACATTATGTTCATTTTGTGAAGCTTCTTGGTATGGCTGAGGAGTTGGATGAGGCTTATGAGGTTGTTAACTCGTTGGGAGAGCATGTGGATTCTGGTATTTGGGGTGCACTTCTTTCTTGCTGTGATGCACATAATGATTTGAAAATGGCAGAGATTGTGAGTTAGGGACTCTTTGGGTGTAAGCAAGAGAGAAGCAACTACAAGGTTATGGTTTCTAATATGCTTGCTGGAAATGGGAGGTGGGATGACGTGAAAAAATTGAGGGATGAATTAGATGGTGTGGGAAATAGGAAAGTTCGTGGAGTTAGCTGGATTGAGGTCTAACCGAAGGAAATACCAAAGTAGAAAAGACATGTAACCTAGCGGTATCAAGAATTTTGTAAATATGCCCCTTAAGCCAATGAATTCAGGGTTCAAATCCCGGTTTAAATTAGGAGCAGATTAAAGGGTGTGTGAGTTAGTTGTTCAAAAGAAAATTAACAAAGGAAATGATTCATAAATGAATTTAATAAATTTTTATGGGGTAAATTATTTAAGTAAAGTAGTTAGGTTTTCTAACAACTTACTTGAGATTTTTTTTTTTTCAATTTGTCATGCATTAGTTGTATAAAATGGTAGCAGATTGAAGATAACTACATAAGTTGAAAAGAAATATATTTCCTTGCATACATAAGTGATTAAGAGGCTATTTGATAGTTGTTGATTGAGTTAAATCCAATTGAGTCAAGGTGTAAGGCACAACTCTAAATATCACCGATTAAGAGGCATATTAGATGAATCATGACTTAGTTAGAGACTGTTAAATATGGTATCAAACAATCTAAATCTTCTAAATCTTTTGAAGTTAGACTTAAACTCTTAGCAGACCCAAAAAGAGACATATCAAAAAGCCCTAACACAATATATTGGCAACAAAGTAACCACATGAGAATGTTCAACTTTATTTTTGATGCTTATAAGTGTTTTCATATTGAGAATATTAGCATATTTTATAATATTTCGTGTTTATCAATCCAATCCATACAAAAAACATTTGATTTGTTATGCTCATATATTTTATTTTTATTTTCTTACTACCTTTCAAATAATAAAACTCTGAGTTACTGATATTTTTGTATAGTTGTATTTATGATATGTTAATAGTCATCTAACGTGCCTTGAAAGGAAATGAGTTGTTTTGTATTGTTTTTCTTTTGAGAAATTAAATATCCTCCTACCTTTTCTTCCTTCATATCATCCTACTAAATTAAATGGTGACATGTGTAACATTTAATGAAATTTAAAGATATTTTAAGATAGTAATATGACACATATCATTATTTAAATGGATAGGAGGATTTATAGGAATAAAAGGTAGGAGAATATTTAATTTCTCTTTTCTTTTTACCAATCACAAATTTATACCTAAATTTTGCTTATGGTTGTTTCTAATATTAGAAACTATGACTTTCCATTAAGTAAAAAGAATGGACACCTTTTAGAATTAATCTTGATTTATTAAATAATAAATAAATATAATTTATAACTTCCATTGTTTTCGATTTACATAAACTTTATATATCATTTAATTGTAATTTCTATGGATTTTTTTTTCAAACAACATTCTATTTGCCACATAACTTTTTCTATATTAGTAGAAACATGTTTTAATAATAATAATAATAATAATAATAATAATAATAATAAGAAGGTAACATGTTTAGAAAATAATTAGAAAAAATTTAAACTTGAAATTAGAAGGGTAAGGAATGTAATATAGAAAAAGTTATGTGACAGATGTTAAAAATCACAACATAACATATAACGACCGCCATCACTTTTATCCTCATGTAATTTTCTAAAATAATTGGGAAAAAAAATCCCTTAAAACCCTAATTTTGACCCCGACTTGACGTTCTTTTTCACCACTTTCATCATCCTCTCTCTCTATCCTAATCTTTCCTCCCAAAACTCCATTGGAAGATAACAGATAAAGCTTTCGTTTCTTTTTAGGAATTCACCCTAATGTTTCGTGAATTCTTTTCATACAAGTAAACCCACCCACCCAATCCTCCGTGCGTCTACTCTACAATCATTCCCACAAATTCGTCATCGCTTCTCAATTAAGACAATTTTAATCATCAATCCTAGCAGCTACTGCTACAAATCGTTTCTTATGCATACAGGTAACTCTCTTTTGCTCTATGATTTCAAGTCGGTCAAGTTTTAGGGATTTTGACGCAATTCGTAAAATTAATACTCTGTGGTTGATTGTGTTTGGCTAGTTTCTCGTTTTAATTTCATGAAGGTTGGTAGGTATAGCTCGATATTGCTGAGTTTTGGGAATTAGTTAATTTTGCCATGTTTTATATGGAAAAAGCTAATATAGAAGGGTGAAATTCCTTTGCTTTGCGGCTGTATTTTCATTCATGCTAATGAAATGAATCAAATGATAACGCTAATTCCCCCCCTTTTTTTTAATTTAGTTTGACAATTTTGGAACGAGTAGAATGTTCTTTGATTAAATAGGTAATTCATGCTAGAGTTGTGTTTCATTGAGCATGTGCCTGAACATACCTCCAATGGTTTCATGTGGATTTCTTCAACTGATATGAATCAATTATTGCATTTCCAGGTGCTATGTATGATGTTGCTGCATAAATGATAGGGTAAACTGGAAGGGCATAATGGCATTAGTAACCCACCAGGTTCAGGTAAAAGAAATTCTGACTACTTTTTATACTTCCTGCATATGTTAAGATTAGGAATTGGATGTATGAATGAATTGTTTGTGAGAGTAATACATAAATAATAGATACTCTATATTTGCCTTTGAAGGGTTCATATGCTCCTCCAAGACCTCTATCTTTGAAGAAAGGGATCGAATCAAAGAATTTTTTAGCAGCATTTCCAATTGTTAAGAGAACAGATATTATATTATTGAAGCATAGATCTTGTTTATGGTAAGTACTTATCTCTATACGTTCATAATATTGACCTTTCAAAATTTACACTGGATATGACTGCTAATTGTAAAGCTTTTCCAATAAACTTTTTCGAGCCACATCACTGAATACTACATTATGAAGTGGTAGTTTCATCTTTTCTTTGTAGCACCAAATCTTACAACAATAATAATTATATTAAAACTCATAAACTTTTAGTTATTACAAAATTTCTAATTTCTAATATTTGTATATTACTAAATGTTACCAAATTTTGAACTCTTGTTTATATTTTTATAAATTTCAATTCCATAAGTTGTAGAATATTTTATCTATCGAGTTTACATTACGTTAAATAAAACATGTTTATTTGTATGGATAAATTAAAAGAACAAAATAGCTAAGATGCAAAAGAGATGATTAACATTAACTTTTTGTTCAATTGTCATTTATAAACAGTGTAAAGGCGCCTCAATCAAAGAGAAAACCATTAAAAATATCATCATTCAAAGGAAATGTCCAGAATGACGAATCAGGAGCTAGAGAAAACGGGTCAAAGTCCACAAAAAATCCGGTCAAACTCTCTTATCTCCCACAGGATCGCAAAGAAACATTAGCTGAATCACCAAAGGTGAAGAACAATCATGCAACCCCAACATCTAATATGCAACAAGAAACCACAGCAGGATCTCAAGCCATACAACAGCTTTTCAAAAGCTGGTTGACTTTGCTACGTACACCTTCTTCTTCTTCTTCACAAAGTCAACTCCCAAATGAGACATTGGAGGAGACATCTGAGAATGAAATTGTGGAAACAGATGACAAAAAAATTCAAACAAGTGGAAGAGGAGTCATTTTGAAAACAGTTTGGAGAAGCTTTTTGGGTTTGGATGCAACCATAAAGATACCTGTTATGATATTGTAAGTTTGAAAGATAATAATGAATGACTATTTTGCCCCTATAAAATATATATATATATATATATATATATATATATATATATATATATATATATCTCTGATGTCTTTGGGTGAATTGAATTTGATTGCATTTTGCAGCATACCCATGTATCTGGCAGTGAACATCAAGTATGGGCCAGAAGTTGCAAAGGAACTGACTCCATTGTGGATATGTGGGCCCCTTATTGTTGCTCTTTACATCAAGATTCTTCATGGGTTATGCTTGCTCTATATTTACAGCTTCAAGCAATCGGTGAAAGTGGTGAAGGATTTGCCAGTGTATTATGATTATGTGATTAGTGGAAAGCTGAAAGAAGCCATAAATGGGCGTTTATGGAAGCCTGTGGTGGAGTTTAGGAAGTTAGGGTACAAAGGCATATGGAAAAATTTTCAAGAATGGGCAATGGATAAGTATTTGGACTACATTGAATCCATATGGCCTCATTATTGCAAACTCATAAGGTTTTTAAAGAAGGCCAATTTCATCTAGCTTTTTCATGTAATGTTTTGGAAATTGGAATAGGGAAGATTTTGAGGCAATCTTTGAGGATTACAAGTGAAAACAGGTTGGATTTTGTATCTCTGAATACATTGTATTTTGGGTTTTTATTCTAAGTCTTTGAGATTAACCATTTTTTACACAGATTTTGTATTCTCATAATGTCATGTCATGGGTTATGCTTTTGCTTTTTGAATTCGTTTTCTTGTTTAGTGGGATGGTTTCTTATCTGCTTTTTTTGTTTCTTTATGCATTAGTAATCAGTCGCAATCAGTATAAACTTTTTTTTTTTTGAAAAGAATCGCTTTGAGAATGTTTATTTTGATTATAGAAAAATAACATAAATGTCACTCAAAGAAACATCATATCGTTTAATATTTGATGTTAGATTCAGTTGGTATAAACCATAGGAAATAGCAACATGCTTTCTTATCTACAAGTATGTATTTCCCATAACAGCAATCTATGTTTTTACTTGAAATAGCGACATGCTTATGTTTTTTTTTTTTTACTGATAATAACATGACACTTATTTTTATAAGTGTGCTAATTCGTACACAATAAATTTTTTGCCATCCACAACAGATTTTTATGAACAGACAAATTTACCCTTACTTCTATTTTGCCAAACTTCACGCTTTACCCCTTAATTATATAAATATATTTATGTCTTACCACATATAACATTCTTTTTGCAAAATTTCAATTTTATATTTTCTCTATTTTACTAAACTTTACATTGTACCTCCTATTACTATTTTTTTTTTTGCCCTAGATTTTTTTCACGTATAAACTTAAAAAATAAAATAAAAAACAGACATATATACAATAGCAATTAAAATTGAAAACATAGTTATATCACTTAACTTTTATTGAACAAATATGATCAAACAACTGTCTAAATAGAAATCCAAACAGGCATCCGAATCAATAATATATAGAACTTGTCGTTCATATATATATATATATATATATATATATATATATATATATATATATATATATATATATATACCAGGCTTGAAAGGACAATTGATGAAACAAGATCCTGCAGTTTTTTTCTTTTACTTGAAATACCTCGAATATCTCGATACAAACCACCCCTGTGAAGCCACATAGATGTACAGTAACATCAAAATTAGAACTCAATTACAAATCAATTCACTCTCATGTCAAAAGGTATCACAATTCACTTAGAACTCAAAAGGTATCACAGTTCACTTTGATGTCAAAATGTATCATAGTTCATTTAGAACTCAAAAGGTATTACAGTTGGCGATCAAAAAATTGAAATCATAATTAACTAATGCTCAATCTTCCAATCAAGAAACAAAAAGAGTATCAATGATCATAACTGTGATCACATCTTCTTTCATTAACTGATATGCCCTTTTATATCTACACTTATTACAAAGATGAAAATATCTAAGCTAATTAACGACACTAACAAACTAACAGAAAGCTAACTGAATTAGATATCAACACAGTTGAAGATTGTACAAGAAACGGATCCAAATCAATTAACGATTCCAAATTAAGGCTTCTGCAAACCGGATTGCAATTGTGCAGGACACATTGATACTCAATTGTACAGAACATGATAAAATATTAGAAACAACATTTTAAGACATTAGGGCATACCTGTGAGGCAAGCCGAAGGCAGATGGTGGACAACGACGGTGGAGTAAGCCGGAGGTGGCGACGGTGGTGGAGTAAGTCGGAAGCGACGACGGTGGATCAAGCTGGAGGCGGCGACGGGTGTGAAGCAAGCCGGAGATTCGTGTGATGTTGGAACAGAAGAGCGGTATTGATGGTGGGAGACTGGGAGTTGCTAATGCGTGGGGGAGAGTTTTAGACTAGTAGGGATAAAATGTAAAATATATAAAGGGTATAATTATCAATCTTTATAAAATTGTTGTGAAAGATAAATTTTTATCGGGGAAAATGACTCTTGAGGGTAATTAACTTTTACGTTTGTACTCATTTGGTCTCTTTTTTTTTTTTTTTTTTTTTTTTTTTTGTATTCAATATACCATCGAACTTGTTGTTTATGTTCACCATAACCCTTTTGACCGACTTTTGACCTGTGATGCCGGTCAAAGGGTTATGGTGAATACAAACAACAAGTTCGATGGTAAATTAAGTACAAAAAAAAAAGGAAATGGACCAAATGAGAACAAACTCAAGAGTTGGGTACCCTCCTAAGTCATTTTCCTTTTATTCATTTACAACAAATCCCACGTCAACTCCTACTGATATTAATGACTTTATGAGATTGATTTTTGCTTCTCTTCAAAACATAATCCAAGAGAGAACACTATTCACACATGTACAACTTTGTAATGCACTTGAATATCTATTAGGGAATCTTGACTAAGCAGACACATTTCATTACTACATTTACATTTCTAGTCGAATGATTTATCGTATCATGGATTCAAGATAAGTCTACAAACGAGTGGAATCACATGTGTTGTGCTTTTTGAGTTTACTTAGCTTTAAGATCGAATTCATGGGATGAGATACAACATCAATATGTACAATATCATGTTGCTTTTGCAGACATATCACCATAATATACTTTGAGGTAAACGTTTATGCTGATAAATATATCTCTCATACACAATCATATCCTTTTGAAGAGAGGTGTTGACAACTAACCACAGTAAGCATAGCATAAACTATGTTTTAATTAAGTTACCCCTCTGAAATGCTCTTCATATACGTTATAGCCAAAGAAGGTTGCAGTCTTTGATAATTTTGCAATTTTAATTTCATTTAACTTTTCGAGGAAAATGACTCAGGAGGGTAACCAACTGTTGAGTTTGTTCTCATTTGGTTCCTTTCCTTTTTTTTTTTTTGTACTTAATATACCATCGAACTTGTTGTTTATGTTCACCATAACCATTTGATCGACTATCACAGGTCAAAAGTCGGTCAAAAGGGTTATGGTAAACACAAATAACAAGTTCAATGATATATTGAATACAAAAAAAAGAAAAGGGATCAAATGAGTACAAATGAGTACAAACGCAAAAGTTAATTACCCCCAAGAGTCATTTTCCCATTTTTATTGTATACGGATGAGTTCCTCTTTTACAAGGCTTCTGACACAAAAGTTCTTTAAGTTGACAAATTTTCTTAGTATTGTTAATGTGATGATTTTTTGTTAGTTAATGTTTAAATTTTGCTAAGTTTATTTTATTTTATTTTATTTTTTTTAATTTTTTTAATTTTACTCTAAGTATATTTTTCAAATTTGCAACAAAACCCTTTTATAAATCTCTTATGTTTTCACTCTAAGGTGGTGACTGTTTTTTCAAAGCGAAAATTTCTGAAGTCCGCATACCGCATCTACAACCTTCTGTAGCCCTTTACAGTAGAAGAGATGTACCAAATGACTGCAACTTGTAATAAAAACTTTGTTTGTTAACCTTTATAGACTACTGCAATAGATTGAAATTTAAATAAACTAATTCTACAAAATTAAAATAGTTTTTCAACACAATTTTTTTTAATAATTTTAATCTTACAACACTTCTTGCCCTTCTAACTTCATGTTTAAAAAATTCTAATTATTTTTTCCGTGACTTGTTTTTTCTAATTAAAAAATGTTTCTATTAGTATAAAAAAATTTTATGTGGCAAATAGAATGCCGACTGAAAAAAATTCTACAGAAATTACAAGTAAGTGCTATAAGTAAGATGATATAATAAAGTTTCACATTCAATTTAAATTAAAAACAACGAAAGTCATATTTTACTTATTTATTATTTAATAAAGCAACATTTTTTTTATTTTTTATTGTTTAATAAATTAATATTAATCTCTAGAAGGTGTTCATTCATTTTACTGAAAAAAATAGGAAGTCACAATTTCTAGATTTAGAAACAAACATTAAAACAAAACTTAAGCTTGAATTTGTGATTACGTAAAAAGAAAAACAACTCATTTCCTTTCATGGCACGTTAGACGGCTATTAACAATTTAACATATAAGTACAACTATACAACAAGATCATTAACCACGTTTTATAAATTAACCTTATTACTTGAAAGGTGGTAAAAAATGAGCAGAACAAAACAAATATTTTTTTTACGGATTGAATTGATCGACACAAAATATTATAAAATTTTCTAATATCATAAATAAGCTAATATTCTCAATAAAATACTTATAAGTTATATGCATCAAAATAAACTTCACTCATCTAGTTACTTTGTTGCCAATATATTGGGTTAATCACTTATGAATGTAGAGAAGTAGCTTTCTTTTTCAACTTATGTAGTTACTTTCAATGTGCAACCAATTTACACAACTAATGCATTACAGGTTAAAGTTTGACTAAATAAATTAATGGGTTAATGTCAGCCTTGGGTAACAAACTTTCTTAAATTGCTTTAAATGGTCCCTCAATTTATTTTTTTGGCTTTCTAATGGCATAATGTGGATGCATATCTCCTTATTTTGTCCTACTAACCTGAAATAACTTGCCCTCATACAATAAGTTGGAGAAAATGTGGATGCCTAGTCAACATAATGTAGCCGATAACAATACATGGTTGCTCACTTGGACCTAAAGTTTATTAAAAGGGGAATGGTGGATTTCACTTACTTTCTTCCAATGAAATGAGGGTATTTGACATACTCCAGCAAAACTAAGCAAACAATCACGAGAGATGTATAGAGAGGATATTAATAAGGTTTTGAGAGAGATCTTTTTAAGCTTCCTATGAAAAGGAAAATGGATACTAAATAAAGATGAAAAGTATGGAAAGTGATATTTACCTATATTGAATTCAAAGACAACCACAATAGTACGACAATCTTTCTAGGGTTAGGATCGACCAAATTCCCAAGAATTAACTACCACCCCTCATAAATTACTCCATAAACCTTTGAATTTCTTTCATATTGAAACGAAACCAACAAGCAAACCATATGTTTGTTCTAATGACAACGAAATTAGTCTCTTTCTCCATGTTCTCTAATGACCCATGCTTGTTGCCCATTTCTATAGGGTTGTTGAAGACTAAACTTGCATCTATCATATGAAATAGTAGTTGTGAATAGAGTTACAACCTCTTTACGTCAATTGTGATGAGTTTCCCGATAAACCCAATTAGATGGAGGATGGAATGAGTCATTTTTGTGCAAAAGCATTCATATTGATGGGTTTAAAGTGTGGAATCGAGAGGAAAGGAGAAAAGGACATGGCAGCTTCGACCGGGAACGTGAACAGAGTAGAATAGAATCCATACAAAGGAT